TTTGAAGACCGCAAGAGCGCCATTTCCTTATTCAGATGCAAATAAATTCTGAATTCGTTTTTGTCGGTTTCACAATGAGAGAGGTAAGAAAACTTTATATTCAAGTTAAAATGATTTCATAATTAAGTAGAAATATTCATGGAGAAATTGTCCAGAAATATAATGTATTCAATTCGCCATTTTACAGGAAATGGTTTTTGACACATCACTGAAATATATGATTAAAAAAAAAGGAATGCATTTTGCTTTCCTAACTATTAGTATTTGTCGTATAAATAAAATTTTTTCTTTTAGTCTTTGATTTAATTAGAAGAAAAGTTTTGTATATTATTTAGAAAATTAATTAATAATACCGCGAGGCATTTTGGTAAAAGGCGAGTTTCAAAAACTCAGGCGCGATGCTTTGTTTTTAAGAAGCTAATCATTTTGAATAAATACGTACAGTGCGCCAAAAAAATGGACGACTTTTGATCGAATTTTCGCATTCCAGGGCTCATTTTTAATGGTTCCAAGGGGTGACCTGAAATATATTAATTAGAGCAGACCCAAAAACGTACTTTCTCTGAATAAACATATCTTTTTTTTCCGACGGATTCGGATTTCTGACTCCCAAGATGTAGGGCAGGGATCCCCAACCCTATGACCGCGGGCACCATAGCGCCCGTCGGTCGGTCTGGGTGCGCCCGCTGCTTGTGCCCAACAATAAAATATTTCAGCTTTCTATTTCCCCATAAAATGCTATGCAAATACATATATAAGTACGCTAGCTCAGTAAAGGTAAAGTACTTGATAGATTTCTACATTTAATTGAAGAAATAAAAAATTATCATGCAGCCAAAAATCAAATATTTTTAGATCTAAGAGATCTTCTTTGGCTAAGAGATTTGTCTTTCATAACGGACATAACGGAAAAATTTTAAAACTTGGAGCTGCAGGGAATGGACAAACATATAGCAAGAATGATAGGGACTATAAACTCGTTTACAGCTAAGTTAGTTTTGTGGATATCACATTTGAAAATGAAGTATCTTGTGAATTTTCCATAAATGATCATTTTGAACAGAGCTTTCAACAATTTAATATCATTTTGATATTTGATCACATATTTTGTAAATTCTGGAAAATAGTTGTCAGAAATAAAATTCCATTCTTAAAAAGAGCAGCATATAAAATAAAGTCGTTTCTTAGTTCCACATACTTGTGTAAATCATTGCTTTCGACAGTAAATATCATAAAATCAAAATATATATCCCGACTTACAGATGAACACCTTGACGATTGCTTGCCAGCAGGAATTTCACCATATTCTTCCAATTATGAAGGGCTGGCCAGTGAAATGCAATACCAAAGATCACATTGTCTGTATTTTATATATTTTATAAATAATTTTTATACTTCGTATGGTTTGAAAAAGCAAGTTAGTAATAATTTTTTTCTCACAAGAATATTAATACTAATTATATTCCTAAGTTAAATTAATTTTTAAAATTACATTTTTTGTGCATTATATGTACTGTGTATTATTACCTATGCCTATCAAATATAAATTTATCTTAAAAAAATAAATGGTGCCCGCCATTCGACCGATATTCTGGTATTTGCTCTTAGGTACAAAAAGGTTGAGGACCACTGATGTAGGGGGTAGCCCAATCCGGAAAATGTAGTTTGGTCAGGACGGCGCTCAAAAGTTTAGACCCCTTAGTATTAATTTTAATTTTTGCCTATTTCGCTATATTTCGAAAACTTTTTAAGCGAATTGAAAAATGTTTGCACACAGATATAAAATTTATTTATCCAGCGATATTTCCATGCAAAAGTAATTTTTAGAAAATATTATTACTTTGTATTATTTTATTTAATGATGGTCAAAAAATTTTGAATTTTAAGGCATACAATTTTTAAAGAACATTATTTTACAGGGCAAAGTACAAAATTTGAGCAAAATCAGTTGAATAGTTCTTGAAAAATCAAGCTTTAAATAACTAATTTTTTTTTTCAATCGATTTCGCTCAAATTTTGTACTTTGCCATGTAAAATTATATATTTTAAAATGGTGTAAAATATTTTGTACCTGACAATTAAATTTATTTTTCGCCCAGTAATAAATAAAATAATAAAAAATAACAAATACATACTGAAATTCATTTTTTGCATGGAATTATCTTTGGATAAGCGAATTTTATAACTATGTGCTAAAATTTTTCAATTCGTTTAAAAAGTTCTTGAGATATAGCGAAATACGTAAAAACTAAAATTAACATAAAGGGGTCCTAACTTTGGAGCTCTCTCTTTACCAAGCTACTGGGATCGTATTTCCCAGATTGCTGCTACCCCCTATATTTAAGGGGTCAAAAATCAAATCCGTCGAAAATAGGTAAGTTTATTCACAGGAAGTACGTTTTTGTATCTGATTTCGTAACTTAAAATATCGTCTGCACTAATTAATTAGCATATTTCAAATCCACCCTTCGAGGCATTAAGATTGAGTCCAAGAATGTAAAGATCTGATCATTAGAGCAAAAGTTATTCAAGGTGGTCCGTTTTTTTTAGCGCACTATACATCTCAAACGATATTATAATCTACAATTTGGTATTTGCATCTTGAGAAGAAGTAAAGTGATTATGTTTAACCATGTGACTTAAATAAGATTTTAATGGATACCTGTAAGCGACGTCACGCGTGTGTGTCGATCCTGATTGGCTTCTTAAACGACAAATTTCTTGATTTACTAATGATAACGATACTTGCTTGATTAACGTGATGATTCAATTATAATAGTAAACGATTTTCTTGTAGATGACGTATTTTGAATTAGTTAATATACTACAGCAAAAAAACAAAACTGCAAAAAAAAATAAACATGTTATCGTAAAATTACGATAGTTTTCAACCTTTTTTGAAATGTGATATAATTTATTACCCTTCGCGATAAGGATTTTTTAAATTGTATTCCTCAATATAACAGGAATGTCATCTCTAACGATAAATACCAAGTACGCGATAATATCTCTAATATTATCTGTAACGATAGTAGTCAGGTTCAATTACATCAAGATTATCTATCTATAAAAAGTGTTAGGATAATATCCTAAATATCATTTCATTTGATAATCATGATAATTATTCAGCAAGGAGACTTCGCAAAAATTATCATTTACGATAATCAACAATAATAATCCAATATTATAAAATCGTGATAATTATACGATAATATATTGAAATTTTCCAATGCGATAACATCGAAACTATTATAGGATTTATTTCCGCATGTTATACAGTTTTTTTTTAAAAATTATGATTAAAATATTAATAATAACTTTTACAAAAATAATAATTTTTTGGATATTTTCCTTACCCCTCCCTCAATGTAAAAGTAATGCAAACTTGTGAAATTGGAAGATATCAAAATACACATTTAAATATCAACTTATTATGACTATATGTTTCTATATTAAAATTCCGATAATGCCCAAAACTATTCACCACATCGTTTACGATGTCATTGCAGCAATTGTCTCATGCGTTTTTGTTTGAAATGTAAACAACTGACTCTCCCATATCAAACAAGAAAGTAATTTTTAACAAGTGACCGAGCAATATCAAACTCAAATGTTACTTTTAGCAATTAACTCTCCAGTATCAAACATAAAAACTATTTTTAGAAATTAATTCGCCTAATATCAAACCTGAATGCAACAGTTTTTTCAGCAATTAACACTCTCTATGTTAAACCAAAACGCAATTTGTAGTTCCAAAACATTTTTTATTGCTCATATTGATTTCGCAATTTTCCAACAAAAAGTTATAATGGTCTAAAGCAGTTTTTCATTGCTTTCTGTAAATTCTTATTGGCTAGAAATTATGTATGGTATAGTTTTCAGTGAACTAAGATCTAGATTTTCTTGATTGTCATCAGCATAATATTAGGTAAGTAGGCACGTACTTTATTTACGTTGCTCTAGAGCAGGGGCCCCAACCTTTTTGTACCAAAGAGCAAATACCAGAATATCGGTCGAATGGCGGGCACCATTTATTTTTTCAAGATAAATTTATAGTTGGTAGACATAGGAAATAATACACACTGCATATAATGCCCAAAAAATTTAATTTTAAAAATTAATTAAACATATGAATATAATTAGTATTAATATCCTTGAGTAAAATAAATTATTACCAAATTGCTTGCAAAACATACAAAGTATGAGTTCATATATGCAATTTGCAAGTGGTCAGCTATATTTTGCTTTGTGCTTATATCTGTGGGGAGAGCGATTTCTATTTTGGTTGTGTTTGAAAAAGCAAAATATATTGAAAAAGCAAATTAAAAAAAACCATATTGAAAAAGCAAAATATATTGCATAACATTTTATAGGAAAATGGAAAACTGAAGTATTTTATCGTTGGGCACAAGCAACGGGCGCACCTAATCCGATCGAAGGGCGCCATGGTGCCCGCGGGCATAGGGTTGGGGACCCCTGCTCTAGAGGATCCACTGCAGAGGAGGTGGCTCCCTGCTTTGGTAGCCCGACGACATGAGCTGGAAGTAGAGCATTTTACGGTAGAACAGTTTAACGAGGATCGATACCGCACACTCTAGGTTCCTACACAGCCTGGTCGAAGTGGTTATCCTGCTTGCTGACTGCATCCAGTAATGCTTGACTTCGGTGTTCTACTGGGAACCGCGTCTTTAAGATCAGTCCACTGCGGGGCCAGCATAATATTAAATAAAAGTTACAAATGTGTATTCATCCCTATAAAATATTCCTTTAATATTTATTTATCCTTTTTTTATGCTGACAAAAGACTATAAGCAACAGGAATTGTAAATACACGATTTATTTAGCATCAAATTAGAATAACTGTCAGATATTAAGAAACCAAATTTTAAATTTTGCTTTAAGTTCACATGTAAAAAGCTGTCATGAGCATTAATAATTTTAAGTATTGCGTTAAGATCCTACTCTAAGCAAGTAAACATGATATTATTTTTATTCTGAATTTATGCTAAATTTAAAAACAAATATTATTGTCAACTTCCTCACAAAATTATGAATTGATTTGTTTAAATACTAAATATGAATTCTTTTTCCAATAAAGGTGTGACATTGATGAAAAAGATGGTTTCATTACAAAATAAAGAACTTACGCAAGCAAAAAAAATACTCGTCAGAAAATATATTACAAGGCTTCGGAATATAACTTCATATAAATTCAGCAAAGATAAATTCCAAAGAGTTGTACATACAAAACTTTTAAAAAATGAATCCAGCGAAAAAGATTCAAGTGAATCGAACAATCCAAACGAAGACAAGCCAGAAACCACATCTGTAACAAGTAAACTTGTATCGAATGCCAAACAGCGACCTCAACCTCAAGGAAAATATAATAGTAATTATGTCAAGAAAGGTATCCAGATCTTAATAGCATCTTTTAGTGTTAGTTTTGCAAAAGATAATGGTTTATCTCTTCTTTGTAACAATTTGATAAAACTAATGGAGTCTATTATGGAAGAACTAAGTAAAATGAAAGTAGAAACTGTAATGCCAACACAAATTCGACAGGCTGTTTTAAATATATTTCCGTCGAGTTTGAAAGAGTTAGCAGTTGCTCGAATTGCTCAAGTTATGATGACTAAAGGCAGAATTGCTAAAATAGTTCCAGCTAAATTAAGAGTTCCAAGAAAAAGGAGAGTTGGTGAAATAAAAACAAAATCTTTGCCAAGAAAGAAAAAGCTTCTAAAGAAAACTAAGAAGAAACAAATGCAAAAAGCAAGAAAAGGAACTTCGCGTAAGAAGGCATCAAAAAAGCCACCGAAAAAGAAATCTAGGAAACTACCAAGAAAACAAAAGTCAGAAGATAAAGATGACGCATCTAGAAAGGAAGCTTCTTTGAAAAAAAGTTCCTTGCGTAAGCGAAAAGCACCTAAAATAACAAAGACCAGAAAATCCGCGAGAAAACATGAAAAGAAAGACATTACAATAAAACCTAAAACCAAAGCTCCGACAACACTTAAAAGATTGAAGTCTACAACTAAACGCAAAGCAGAAGCATCGATATCACCACGGAAAAAACAGAAAACTGCAACAAGAATCAAAATGAAAACTCCTGTAGCAACAAAGGAAAAGCGGAAACCAACAACAAAGCGCAAAGTGAAATTTATTTTAAAAGCACCCCGAGAAAGGAAGCCAATAAAGCTCAAAACCACACCCAAGAAAAAACCTTCGAAAATCAAACCTGCGAAAAAGTCCCAGAAAGAAAAACCTAAGAAACCTAAGACACTGAAAGAAAAATCTAAAAAGAAGGTACTTAAAAAAAAACCTCGGAAGATATTGAAAGAAAGACCTAAAAAGACACCACTGAAGAAAAAACCTAAGGTGAAGGCGTTGAAAGTCAAACCCGAGTCAAAAACCATATCAAAAGAGAAAAATCAAGTATCTAAAAAAGAAGAGGAAAGTATGGCGAAATTAAAACAAGGTATTCAACGACTTAACGCATGTTTCGGAATTAGGTTCGCAAAAGATGATGGTATATCGCTTCTGGGAAGTAAATTGGCTTCTGTATTGGAACATTTGGTTGAAGAAGTAAACAAGTTGAAAACAGGCACAGTTACTCCAGCACAAATCCGTCAGTCAGTGTCAATTATTTTTCCAGCTACATTAAGGGACTTAGCTGCTGCCCGAATTAATCAAGTTATGATGATCAGGAGCGCTGGTTTAAGTAGTAAGAAAGAAACAATTGTTAAAAAGGAAGAACGTGAATCTGAAGATTCTAAGACTGAGGAAGAGAGATTAGTTGAGGAAAAAGAGCCAGTAGTGAAAGTTCCCAAGAAAAAGCCCAAAACTCAGACTTCGCCAAAGAAGAAAAAAAGCTTGAAAGTTGGACATAAAAAACGTAGACGTTTATTAAAAAAAGGAGACGAGGCTCCTAAACAGAAAGTTGCTCGGAAAAAAAGAACAAAGTCGATCACTACACCGAAACGAACCTCTAAAAAACGAAAAATTAGATCACCAAAAAAGACAGAAAAGAAAATGAAAAAACTTAAAGTAAAAACAGAAAAAAAAGTTGTTGGCAAAAAAGTAAAGAGTATTTCGCGGAAACGGGTTGTACCAAAAGCTATAGGAAAGAAAAAGCATGAAACGAAGGGCCTGATCAAAAAACGCAAGGCTAAACCACCGCTAAAATCACGAAAAATACCGAAGCTTACTCAGAAAAAGAAACCGTTGAGAGAAATAGTTACAAGTAAGCAAATAAAAGTTAAGCCTAAACCAAAATCCAAACCAAGCAAACGCGAACGAGTAGAAAGTAAAGACAAATCACCTATTAAAGAAGTTGTTAAGCATAAAAAACGTAAAGCAGTAACATCAGCAAAACCACATAAAAAACCGAAATTACCACCTAAGAAAAAAACTGCAAAGGAAAAACCTAAAAGAAAAGCATTGAAAGCTAAACCAAAAAGAGAAAAGAAAATCAAGCCCAAATCAAAACGATTAGCTAAAGGCAAGAAAGAAGTATCCAAAACCGAAGATCATATAAACGATTTCGAACAAGGTGTTGAGAGTCTTAGTGATTGCTTTGGTATCTTTTTCGCCAAGGATAATAGCACATCCTTGCTGAGTGAAAGCTTAGCTACTGTTTTGGCGCGTATTATTGATGAAGTTAATACTTTAAAAACAGATACTGTCAGGCCGACTGAAGTTCGCCAAGCTGTCAAAAATATATTCCCCGCTCCTTTAAAAGAGTTAGCTGTTGCACGTATAAGCCAAGTAATAATGGTTGTTAGTTAAATATGTTAGATCTTTAAAATTAAATTGTAGTACTAAAAATAAAATATAAATTTTGTAATTTAAATTGACTGTTTAGATTGTAGAAATATGTTGAAATGTCTAACTTAAGAATGTCACAATTTATGCCTTCGTATCAAAAATTCAGCTTTTATCCGTTTCGGTGGGCCCTTTAAGTACATATAATGTATCCATAGTACATACTACGTACCTACTACAACAGTACCGATCCACTATTACCACAATACCAGCAATACCTATAACTGCAATTAAATAAGCATCACAGGTCGCAATAATATTTGATTTTTACCGGGCTTTGAAATGGATAAGTACCAAGAGATGTTAGAGAAAATTTCTTCGTTTTTTGTTTATTTTATGCTTGTGCACCTCAAATTTTAATTTTTATTGAATTAAAATTCAGAGCATTTAAGTTTTATGTCAAAAGATGAAACCATAGAATAAGGAGTTAATTTATTATTATTTTTTTAAATTTCTGTGTGAAACTTTCATTTTGTTAGATTTGCTTAACTAAAGACAATAACTGAATTAAAAGACGTAGGCCAATATAGTGATAAGCCAGGAACTTTCCAAAAATGAATTTTTTTGCCTCTAACTCCCCCCCCCCCAGTATTGTCTCCAGATAAGTATTTTATGAATTTGCGGAATTTCCTCTTTATAACGGCATGATACGCAGTAACATTTTGTAGCTTACGTTAAAATAGTTTTTTTTATTTACGAAAAAAGTTAATAAAAAACTTTGTAATATATTGTAAATAAGGCCATCATTATACTGTTCCAATCCCTTTAATTTAAATGTGCTTAAAAGGTATATTTTTATGTTTGCATTTTTAATAGTTTTTTTTGTATCTTTCATTCATCAAAAGAATAATCTGCAATTAAATATTAGTTTTCAGCTTAGAAAAATAAAAATACAGTAGCATGAAATTTGAAAAATGTTTAATTTTCTCATTTAAAATATAGGCTGTAATAATTAGTTTTTTTCTTTCTCAAATAATCCTTATATGATTACATGCTTATATCTTCCCCAATGAGAAAAATATTATACATGGGGGAACATTTCTCCCGAAATTATGTGTATATAAAACCTCCATGCAATAAAAAAGGACTCAAGGGATAAATCGAACCATGCAATAAATCGAACAGAAACTTTGTGTAATAACATTATGGTCTAAAGGTAGAAAAAAAATCAAAAGATCACTATGAAAACTATACGCAGTTTTGCTGACTTTTTCCGTATATTTAAAGATTTAAAGCTATTTTGCTGACAAAACTGGTTTTCATTGCTTTTCAACCCAATCACAAACGGATTCAAGCCGTCAGTTAAAATTCCAGTTTTTGCCATACAGTTTTGCTTACCGTATGGTAATTTTACCTTTTCCCGAATCGTTTTATGATTTTTTTTCCATATATTGTCCTTACTTTGTACTGTAGGCCAGAAGACCATGATCTTTGGCCAAAAGTCAAAAATTAAATTTTCAACTTAAATATGTGTAGGCAGTTTTAATATAGCCCAAATTAAATATTCATAATCATTCCAAACATTATAATTTACTTTTTGGACCGACAAGAGTACAATGTAATGAAAAATATGTTAAATTTTTTTTTTTAAATTTAACTTTTAAATTTTTATTTCAGAAATATATATAGGAATTTCACCTTACTGTTACATTTTTTCAGAGTAATTAGTCTGAAATTAAAGTACAATTTTTCAATTTGTTGGATTAGTTAATACTCTTGACAAACTTATAGTTTATATCTTATCATTTGACATTTTACAATGTTTGAATGACTTTAACCTAGAACTAGACTTTCGAAACCTAGTTCCAAAAAGTTCCATGAGGTAGCTAAACTTTTTCTGTTGTTGTCTTCTTTTATGTTTCTTCTTTCGAAAAAACCTGCCCCAATTTGCCCGTATTGCAAAGGTGGACTAAATAAACCGAAAAACAAAAATTATGTTTTTTTTCTTCATGTTTTCGCGTTATTTCGTAACTAATTCGCTTTATTTTGTAATATTACTTCGGAAATATAATTTACTTTTCATTATTAATATAAAATTACGAAAATTATTATATTTTCATTGCTATATTTAATTATTTAAACGTACTATATCATTTTTTAAATTTTTGCTCGCTATATTTCAACCGCCATTTTGTTTTCTGGGGTATTTTGAGTGTATTTCAAAATTTCAACTATGAATTCAATTTACGTGCGCATAAAAAACCCCAAATTTTGAAACAAATTTTATCGAAATGCTAATTTTGGCCACGAAACTTTGGATGCTGAACACAGTATAAACGAAACTGCGATTCTGCTTTATAATCTAATTGACACTTTGCCTGATTATTATCTTACTTTAGATATAATATTTTGGTAAGTTAAATTGCGGATGAGCAAGGTGGCTCATTAAAGTTTTAAACGCTTTTCTACTTAGAAACGATTTCAATTTGTAAGACTTTTAAAATAAAGGTAGTTCCAGACGTTTATTCATAATAAAGCTCTGCTCTACAGCCACGGTGGTTCATGTGACACAGCGTTTGTCTTCCAATGAGATGACCCAGATTTAAATTCTAGCAATGACTGATATTGCTCCTGAATACAGGGATATGAATTCTGCTCCCAGATTACGCCCAACACAGCATAATGAAATATCCATATCTGTTACAAATACAGATTTACTTCGAAACTTTAACAAAGAAAATTATTTTTCAGAATAACCAGTTTTTTATTGTAAGAAAGCGTTGTGACTGATGTCTTTCTCTGTAATCAGTAAATCTTTCGTAATTTTATGGAAAAAATTTGTTCTTGTATAGTAAAAAGCATTGAGTCTACGAATTTATTCCTTCAGTTTTATGGTTTTGAACAATCAACCCAGGTGCTGGTTTAAAACCGTAAATTTAACAAAATTTTTTTACAGCGTATTATAAGTTTAATGTGACACACAAAAAGGAGAAATTCTTATTGAAAAATTGATTCATTTATGCTTTCAAATGTTAGTCTTTGGAGTATTAAATTAAGCAACACATCATCTATACAACAATCTACTAATCGATAAAATAAGGTTATGATCCTTGATCGAATGACAGCAGAATTAATGAGTTGAAAAAGTTTGAGGTGTTAAGTCACGTTTATTCTCACATGACTTTTGTATGACCAACAGCTCTTCAATATTGTTTCCGGGTTTATTTATTAGATAAAAACAAGATACACAAACACTGTTTCTCTGGAAATCACACGTGTTTCTACTAAAAATGTATTTGTTATGGCAAGCAAAAAAAAATTTAAAACGTGGCTTATAATTGCCATAGATCATTCAGTTCTTAAATTGATAGTAAAGGAGTTAGTAGGAAAAAAACCCAGTTATTTTGAAATCAACTACACATATATTCTATATGTAAAATGAAACTTTGCGTTACATTTTCTTCGCGTTAGTTTAGTTTCTCAGTCAAATAAACGCAAATAATTCACATATAGGAGAGTTTTACTGAAATATCTGTTTCTTATTTGTTGAAATTTAAATAATTCGCTAGAGTAAGTAAAAAACCCTAATAAACTATAAAAGACCATTTTAATATCGTAATTAATCATGAACTTCGTAAATATAAAGAAGAAATATAAAAAATATTTTCTATTTAACTATTATTTCATAGAGAATTCGATTATATTTCGATTAAATAGAAAAAAGGGAAAACATTTTGCTGTTTATATCAGAAATTAATCTATTTTTATATTAAAACAACTTACGTACGTTTTTTATATTGTCGTTTAATAAAACGAAAATTTTTTGTCTTAAAATCAAAATTAATACTTAATATTACATATATAGTTTTCAATCTAAAGTAATTTTCAATTTAGTAAATTTTTCATTTAAGGATAAGTTACCAATTTCGTTAAAATAGAAAAAAAAAGGATATTTATGTCGTTTTTGACCACATCAGAAATCAATCATTTCTATTTGAAATCATTTTTCTTCATTATATTCGCCCTAACAAAAGAACAATATAACTTTAATGTTGTTATCGTTTTCAACCTAAATCAAATCTCATCACCAAATTATAGCTAACTCAAACTTTATTTTTATTTATTCAAAGCTAGAAAAAGACAAATAGCTCTAAAAACTAGTCATTGAACTTCTGTAACTATCGTTTCAGAAATCTGACCAATTGCGTAACTCAAAAATATAAATAACCCACATTTTATTACTTATTACAAATACATATTATTTAATTAAAAGAAAATCTTTCAAGATAATATTTGTGTAGGTATATGTTACCGGTAAAGCTGAAATATGGCTATATTAACAATGCCTATTCATTGTCAAATGGCATGCATTACATACACGCCACATTTTAGTAGTATTGAACGCAATGACAAAGATGATTTCCAATTTTCAGCTGATTTATTAGTTTGATTCGTTATGATTCATTAGTATTAGTTGAAAATAATTTCAAACTTCTAACAATGGGTACACATTTTTATTTTGCTTTTTTTAAAAAGAAAGATAATTTTTATCAATCACCATTGTAATGAAAAATATCAAGAATTATGACGTAAATTCCTGGCAGGGATGTATGAGCTATAGCCGGATATTCGCAATCCCGGTAGTTCATACAATGATGTTTTTGTAAGGACCATTTGTCGGTATACTCTTGCCCGGTATTCCCTGCAATGCTTTTTTTTTTCTAATCAGTCATTAGTAATAACTAACTATGCCGCTAATAGTAATAAAACGCGTTACTCATAAAATTTGATTTATCAGAAAACGAAAATATTTTTAGTGGTTGTCTTAATTTTTTTTAAAAAATCGACGGAATCAGAGAAAAAAAAATAAACATCTTCTTTTACCGTGATTCTTATATTTTATACTTTTTCTAAAGAGAATTAGTGGTTGAACACATCGTTAAGTATATAATAATTCTCATATAATACTTTGCATAATGATGCATTGCATACAAGGACGATATTTCCTGCATTGCCGGTAACATATAGAATAATGAAAAACAATTACAATGTTGACTTAATTGGAATGCATAAAAATACATTAAAAAAAGTAAATGATCTTTACCATTCTGCATTTTATTTTCCCGCTCGATACAAGCACACGAACAACTCAACTCCACCCATATCATTATCATCGATCCTTCGACATTAAACTTTTTGCAGTAAAGCAAAGAGGAAAAAAATGAATAAAAATATAAATTGAGGCTAAGCCTATTTAAAGTATCGGGTCTTTTTAAAGGAAGAATCATGGCAAGTATCCAAATTTGGCGGTAGTGAAAGCTTTTGGCGGAAAACACCAAAATAAAAGAATGAAAAGAAAAAAAATAGACTCGAGGTCAGGGTTACACGAGTATTTGTGTATGTTAAGTCGGAGTTCAGTGTTGCAGTTTTAATAAGAGTATCTGATGCTACAGAATAATGATGTCTTAATGGATATTAATTGGACATCAAGGCTGTTAATGATGTCATTTTGTAGGCGAAGCATTTAGAACACAACTTTCGAACTTATAGTCGAGCTTTATGAAACTATTTAATAGCGCAGTCGCACTGCACAGGGCGACAATATTTTCGATGCTTTTATACAAGTACTTGATCTTACCTAATTCAGGTGTAGGGATTTCAAATTTAAAATAAGTTTTGTTCCGAAAGCTACAGGTTTTTTCAGTTTATTTTTTTTAGTCTGGATATACAAGTTTATAAAGAACGTATATGTTTATAAACATACATATACACTTGTTTGCTTTCTTGAAAATAACACTAAGAAAATACACCTGAGCCTAACGTGTCGTATCATATACTGAAATGTATTATCGCTTTTTTCTACCACTTTCTGCGTAGCAGATAAGTGGAAACACTTAGTATTTACTAGAGGAAATTTTAAAAAAATCCTGGTTAGGAATATTGAACTAAATTGCTTAAAAACAAAAAATTCCAGAGGGAAACCGATTGCAAGTTTAAAATTAGTGATGCGGAGATATCTAAGATACATTCAAAAATCTCATCAAAAAGATTTGTTGCCCAGTGTTATAAGTGACACTTACCTCAGAATTTTGTGGAGAAAAAATTTTTTTTTGGCACATTTTCCCTAAGTTTTATGAAATGAAAAGTTTAGTGGATGAATCTGGCAAGTGACATTTTCATTGGTATTTATTAATCGGAAAATAACATAAAGTGGTCGCATTATTACGGATATGTAAAATGTAACAGAATTGTTTTTGCTTTCGCTCCAGCTTTGACATAACTAATACACATTAATTACGAGTATGCCTGCATGATTTTTATTTCGAATTAGGTCGTGGTAAATAAAAAAAGGGGAAATAATTATTAGCTAAAATACATTCGAACAAATCTTTAATAATGTATTTCGGTATATAATTTTTCTTCTTCTTGCCCTGATTATAACCACTCTGAAACTGGCACTTACCTTTTTCATCTACTCAGCTCTAAAAAGATCGGTCAATATAAAAGAAACTACTAGAAATTGGTTTATAACATAGAACAAGTTATAAGTAATAAGGTTAAAAATAAAAGAAACTTTTAGTATTAGGGTTTTAACATAAAAGGAACTATTTGAAATAGGGTTTTAACATAAAAAACTATCAGTAAAAAAGTTTTAACATAAAAGGAGCTATTAGTTATAGGGTTTTAACATAAAAGAAACTATTAGTAATAGGGTTTTGCAAATGTCCGAAAAGAACGCATGTTAATAAATGAGCCAAAGCTAATTTTTATTTTTTTACCATCTTGCATTTTTAAATTTGTTTCATGATACAAATTTAAAACATTTTCATATTTTTTCGGATTAAATTCTCCGTTATTACTTCTATTCTGATCAAAAGATACCGGGTTTGTTTCTTACTTTATCACTATTCTAAGCAATATTAATGCGAGCTATTACATAATGGCCAAACATAGCATATCGTGCTATATACAATACTTTAAAGGTTAGCTCTGCTGCGAGCATAGATCCTTAATTAACGCGAAGTATAATAGCCGTAACCAATAGCAACATATGGCATTTTAACTCAGATGAATAGCTGAAGTTTTGTCAGTTGATTACATACAACAATTCTATACTCGAAACAGATGTTGCTACCTGAACATTTGACAAGCGTTGTTTTGATACTTAATATTGATAAATTGAAATGTTGATTTTGCTTTAATAAAAGAAATATACTTACTAGGAACAAATTGCAGTTCATCTATACCCAGTATCAAACTTTAACAAACAAATTTCCTTCAAAAACCTGTTTCAGAAAAAAATACTGCTTTAATATAGCAATGGAAAATTCAACAAATTGTTTTTTTTTTTTAAATATCTTATATAACATTGAAAGATAAATGTAAACTCCACTTTTCCCGTAATTTCATTTGACAAAAAAATCACACGATTAATAAGAAAAGAGATCTAGATCTCTTTAGCTGTCAATAAAAATTACAACTGTCTTTACTTGTAAATTACTGTTTTATCCCTTATTTAACTGCATATGCCAATATTATGTATTTATCCTCCCTTCTTAATAGTCTCACCTTCATTACTACGATATACTGATTTTAATTATTTTTTTTAAAAATAAAAAGTTCAGAGCGAAAGGCATTGTTCCTTCCTTTTGAAAAAGTGTAATAGTAGAATATTACAGCACTAGGCAACATTTTATGATATACATATATAGTTTTAAAGTTACAATTTATGAACGGTGAATGTAGGCATATTTCTATTTTTAATGTGGCATATGTTTTAAATATTTCAATAGAAGTTGCAAATAACTATTTATTAATATATAAAACGGAAATGTTATAGAAATCTAATGAATCACAACTGCTAAAGGCGCTTCTGAAAATGTCAAAACCTATTTGATTGCCCTAGGAAACAAAAAAAAAGCTGAATGGCAGATTTTAATAACTCATTAAAGTTCCATAGGGTAATCAAACAGGTTTTAGCTTTTTCATTATAGCCATGGTTTTCAATAGCGTTTTTGTATTTTCTTCGCTTGAACTCTTACGTGTACTGTTTTGAATTGTTTTTACAAGGAACTTGAAATATACAAAGCACTCTGTACATTAAATATTCACAAAAAGCAAAATTATCTATAGAGAAATGTAATGCAACGAAAATTATTCCCGATACAAAGGGTGAATATTAACAATGATTTTTAATGAAATTGATTTTTAAATAAAATTGATTTTTAAATTAAATGATAAAATTATTTTTAATAAAATTGATAAAATGATTTTGAATAATTTTTTAACACAACAATAATAAACAATTATAAGCATACAATAGTAATAAATATGAGTTTTTTCTTTTTTTTATTATTCCAAAGAATGCAGCGTTAGAGTAACATTTCAACTATTAAAAAAGTTGGTCAAAAGCACTTTTCAGTTTTTAAAGTAGAATTTCTTCACACTAACATTTTGAACCATTTCAGAAATAGCATAAAAAGACCCTGGGCAAATATGGTCAATACTTTCTCAGAGCCATGTTGGCTCAGCGGATAGAGCGCTCGCCTTCCAATGAGGTGAACCAGGTTCGAATCTCAGCTATAGCTGTTTGATTCGAATTCCGCACCCGATTCGCACCGACCACAGTGCTGATGTAAAATATCCTGAGTGGTAGACGAATCATGGGTTAGAGTCCCCTTTCCATGTAATACAAATGTGGGTTAGTTCCATCAAAAAGCCCTCCACGAATGCAAATTTCACCCAAATACTTGATCCAGGAGTTCCCTTGTCCTCTGCATTGGATTCAAAATTACAAGGCTATGGAGTTGAACATAAGTAGTCGTAAGCTCAAAATCGGGTAGGCTGTTCAACAAAAAATACTTTGCCAAAAATAACGGTTATAAATTTACAACAATTATAAAATTAGCATTTTATTAGCTAAAACATGTTATTTTATATGATATCGACAGTACAGCAAAAAATATTGAAGTACAGTTAGAATTGTAAGTATACATAAGATCTTATTCTGTAACTACTTTATAAATGAGTTCTCAAAAGAATAAAAGTAAGTTAAAAAAAATAGTGTACTAAGCATTGATTTTATGTATGAAAACATATTGCTAGCATTTTAAATGTATCTTAACGATCTTCTGTACTTTTTTTTTTTTTTTTGCAGATATATACTCGAAAGAATGAGAATAAATACAAGTTCAATAGATAGGAAAAGAATTCCTTATTATTAAAATAGTCTAAGCGATATTTTGTGTTTAACAGGACTTTTCCTTTGAAATTTTCTTTGCAAAAAAGAGTTTAAAAAAAATTCTTCAGAATGTTTGGCAACACGCACCCTCCATGTAATTATTTGTTTTGTGCTTCAAACGATTCCAAGGTTCTTTTTCCTGCAGCAGAAACTGCTCCAGGTACATTTGCATTTCGCCGATGGCAACACGAACGAACGAGATTGTTTTTACCCATCTTTTAGTTGGAAAATTTGTTTTGTTAGAAACTTTTTACACTGTTCTGTACTTGTTTCATGTATTAAAAGAGTTTCGAGATACTATTTATTAATCATGCTCCTTAGGATATATTATATATCACAAGGCGAATGACAGTTACATAGAAAAATAAAACATTTACTAATTTTTAATCGTTTGTCTTTATTTTCTTATTGCTTTTTAAATTTATATTGCACATAATATTGAATCACTATTATTCCTTTGAAATCGATTGTTGTTAATTCAGTAAAAACATTGTGACTCGAACAATTTTTAATTTCACTTACAGGAACTAAATCTACTAAATTTTACTACTTAAATCTATAAATTTTCCTTGATTGATATTGTTTTCAAAATAATTATACAGAGCTAATTATACATGATTCTTTCTCGGTAAATCTGTTTGTAATTTTGTTAAATTCATTTTCATCAATTAAAAATTTATTTTTTAAGTTTATAAAAATATATGTTTCTCACTAATAGTAAAGCCATCACTTTTTTTCAATCATTTTATTAATACTCTTTTCAATTAAACTTTTCATTACGTTTTACTGATTTTATTATTGCTGAGTATCTGATTTTATTATTACTATTGTATTATAAAAATTTTTTCTATTTGAACTTTCTAATCAGAGTATGAACATAAAAGATAGAAAACTCATTTAAAAAAAAAACGTAAAATGTATAGGTTTTAATTAAAATGTGGCCATTTGTCCAAAAAAGCAAGCAATATTCCTATTTTTTATTAAAGAAAGAACTCTGCAAAATCCTATATAAAATTTGTTCTTTTCTTTCTGTTGTTTTAATCACTTGGATGACTGATCAAAAATTTGCACCCAGCCACAGCGTCTTCTATTTACAATCCATTCCTTTTATTTCCTTGTTTTCATTCCTCTTTTACATTGTCACGAATGGCAACAATTCCATTAGCCATGAACTTTCGCAGCCATCTTAAAACTGGAAACCGTGAAAAGGAACGCATCTATTTTGTTTCTTTTCCGCAAAAGGCATTTTAGAACTTTCTTTTGCGTGCCAATGGTATGAAAGGTTCGCCGTAGAGAGTGTGTTAGTAAAGAAGCTTGTTTGGGAAAGCAAATAAATATTCTCGCTAAATCTTTCTATGCATCGTTGCAAAGAACACATTCACTTTTAAAATATGCATGTTTTAAATTTTGCTGATAGTAATTCTAGACTTTTAATGTTGGAAATTTTTTTTCCTGAAGAAATACAAGTCTAGTTTCAATTTGGAATTAAGAGTTTTTTTTTAATTCTACTATTTAGAATGTTTTCCTATTTTTTTTAAATAGTATTAAGGATTTCATTTCATACTACTATTTGAAATAAAACACCAAGCAAAAAGTGCAAGTTTCATTTTTAAAAGCAAAGCAGCAAATATAATGAAATGAAGATATTTTTACACTCCGTGGAATTTACAGAATTTTTCAACCAATTTTTTGCAGTATATTTATTAAAAGATAGATGGACATTATATGCTAGCTGAAGCATTTACTTTAGTATAATTTAATTTAATAATTTAAATAGGATATTTCCATTGAATGCTTTGTAAACTGTGATTATTAAGGCAACACATTTAATAATAGAATCAGAACTTAAAGTCTATAAAAAAATTTGCTCAAGAAACCAAACATATATTTTTATTGAAAATAAAACATTAAAACTAAAACTTCTCAGTTATTTAATTTTTAAAAAAAAATTAAGATATAGTCAAATTGAATGTATCCTTAATAGTTTAAATAGTATTCAAATTTAAGTTTAATTCAGAGAACGGGTACTTTTGTAAAACTGAAACTTAGAATTTTGATTCAAACGTCAAATGTGATTGCAATACTCTCATGCGTTGCAATATAGGAAATATGTTGCAATATATGAAATATGTTACAATATATGCATATGTAGCAATATATGTTGCAATATATGAAATTCTCATTTTAAAAACATTTAAGAAACGTCTGTTTTAAATTTAAAAATTTACCTGCCCTGTGTTAAATAAAATAAAATATTTCATTAAAAATATTAACCCTACTAACCATCTTGGTGAAATGTTAAAAAAATTTAATTATAAAAGCAACAATAAAAGTTCTAAAAATGGCAAGAACTAAAGAAAAAAATCAACATTTTAATATGCTTTTTTTTACTTTGCCAAAACCAGTATGACGCCATAATAGAGTCCAATATGAAACTCTTTTAACTTTTGAAACTCAAGCTTAGAAACTTTTTAATACTGTTTGCATTATTTTTCAGCTTTTGTAGTAGTGTACTATTTAATACTTATACAAAATTTTATCACGAATTTTTAGCGAGACAGTAACTTCAAATAAAATTTTTTAAATAAAAAGACGTTTTAAATTTTTCATAACTGAAATTACTGTGATTTAAAAATAACAAGTTTTGATTAATTCTTAAAAATATTAGCCAACATTTAATTAGCCTTCAGCATCTCTTGCTATTGAACAGCTGAAAATTTACAAATTTTAAAGTTTGGCCTTTTTCATTTTATTATTCTTTTTAAATTTATATTTCAAAATTTTAAACAAAATATTCAATTTACTAACGAAATATATTTAAAATATACATCGTCTAAATTTCTTGGAGCTATATTTCTTTAAAAAAATTGGGATACAACGTTTTAAAATTGAAAAAATTTGACAAAATTCATCATTGCAAACAAAAAACAAAAACATTCAGCTCAGTAGGCGAAAAAATTAATCTTAAGTGTTGTCTAGCATTTTAATTTAGATATAGACATAATTTTTTCCCAATTTTAAAAAGAACTTTAAGCCTCATTTTTGAAAACATTATGTTTGAAAAGAACTAAAGTATTGTAACTTATAACATTATACTAAAAATAAAATAAGGAATTATCTTTTGGAAAACGCTCTTCCTAACTTAGCATGTGAGGGCATAACCGTTGAACGACGAAGCATAAAAATAGCCGGTAAGACAAAATTGTCATTAAATCAAGATAAAAAAAGATATGTCTGATAATTCATGGTTTCTGAAAGCCTTTTTTTCGAATTTGCAACTACATTTGTAAGCAAATGTAGTTACAAATTCAAAATTAGAAGAAAAATCAAATCGTTATAATAAGTTAGCTTTCGTCAACACGGATTGTATTAATAAGCTTGGTCGGAAAGTGAACTTTTAGTGTTTTTACATTGTGAAAAGTACAAGATTAAATTACGGTATAAGGTACCGGTACTTTTGATGCATCATCTGTAAAAAAAATTTTACCGAAAAATATTATAACGTAATTTTACAGCAATATTTATTTAATTAGAGTGATTCAGTGAATTTACTGTAAAAATTACGGTACATCATGTTTTTTGTACTAACATCTTCCGGTAAAAATGGAATTTAAGGTAAAAAGTACCGGCATCCTGAGTGACGGCACTATTTACCGTAATTTTATCCTGAATATTTTAGATTATAACTCTCCTAACACTCCTAAATCTAAGCTTTCGCCTGATTAGTGAAAATAAATAATCAGGTTGTTAACTTAGTTCTACTTCGAATGCCTAATAAAAACGAAACAAAGAATTTTTTGTTCGAAAGAAACACTTTTAAATTAGATGTGTAAGGACATAAGCCGTTAAACGATGTAGCATAGAAATACCAGTCAAGTTAAAATTGTCATTAAATCAAAAGAAAAGCAAGATGCCTGATATGTTTACTCGAAAAATTTAATTAAGTCTCTTTTATAATTAAATTCGAGTATAGCAGGATATTCTGCAGAGAAATTTTAGTGAAGAATTTATACTGGCATGTGATATTTCGGGCCATAATTAAACTTGAAGTAGATAAGAGAAAGAAGAACGGATTTTTAATTACTTTCGAAATTCTATACTGTCGACTGCCGGAAGTGAATTTATCACCATTGGCAGGTATTTTTTCACCTATATCTTGAAGAAGTATGTAAATTTTCAATTAACGTCAAATAATCACGATAAATTTTCCTCGTATTCAGATGTCAAAAAACAAAATTTGTAATACTACTAAATAAATAACAATAATTAAAATGTCTGTCACAATTTCCTTACCAAAATAAAATAATCTAGGTAATATCTATATTCAGAAGGTTGCTAAATATGTATGTGTTAATACAGGCAGGCGAAACACTGTTATCTACAAAGACCATATTAAGCACTGGTGTTCAAACCGAAGGTCAACATTTTAAAAACATATGTGTCGAATCAAATTGTCGACGCCATTTTTAGGCTTAATGCAGTAAACATGCAAATTAAATAGTAAAACTTGTTGAATAAGGATAATTACATCCACTTTTTAAAAAGTAACTTCGATATAACCACAGTAAAATTGCATTTCATATTAAGTTTTGATATGCAGTGCTGGAAAAATTAATTAAAATGAAAAATTCTAAACTAAAAATAACTTAAATTTCATTGCCACCACGAGAAGATACTTTTTTACAAAGTGGAGCAAGTTGGCTGCTCTGTATATAGTAAAGAAGCTTGTTT